AGTGAATAAAAATTGATTTTCAATCTATAATGAAGTATAAAATGTAGAACAAAAGTTTATTCCCTTAAATCTTAATGTGGTTTTTGAGTATGGTGAGAAAGACTTATCAAAATTAAGACTGAAAAATAAAATTTTGTTCATGTCAAACAATATGGTGGAGAAACCAAAGACGATGAAGGCAACCGCCACATGAGACAAAGAAAATCCTAAATCAAATTGGAAAAGTAAAAAATAAGACGATGACATGTTTTCTTGTCCCTTGACAATGGCTTGGCCAAAAACCTTCTCCTCACAAATTTGAATATTACTTATTTAATTTTCCACTCCCTTTTTTTAATTGAACAAATATGAGTGTGACACCTCCTAACTTTAGATGTTACATAATTGTAGACATATATGAATTAAATTTACCTAATTTATCAGCTTAAAACGTTTAAGTTGAGTGGTGATTTATTCATTATTATCATAATATTAGAGTGAGATGTCATGGTGTTGAGATATCCATATATGAATTAAATTTACCCAACTTATTGGCATGCATTTTTTAATTGAGTAGTAGTTTATTCATTCTTAACATGATATTAGAAGAGTGATTATTGAGCTATGTTTAAATTTGACCAAATTTAAATGGTGTAGAAAAAGATTACAATGATAGATTATGATTATAGTTTTGTGTTTTTAAGTTCAATAAAGATGGGGTGCATGGATTCAACCTTTAAATCTTGTCATGCTCTTGAGATATGATTATAATTAATCAATATCTACCCTAAAATAGAGCACATGAGCTTAATTAGCTAAATGATAATCGACACTTGTCTCTCACCTCACCTCACTCGTGATAAAAAGAAAACATACTAATTGCTCCTCGGTCAATTTTTAAATTCATATATTTCCACTTTTTTAAAAAATCCGACATGTTCCATTACTTTCTAGAAAAACATATATTGAACTTTACCTTATTTGTATTTATTTTGTGGGTCCGTGATTTTAAAAAGTAAATTAATATGTTCAGAAAAGGAGGACAGATCCAGACTTGTAAACTTGAATAATCCCTCCAAAAAGGTATCACCTAAATAAATCTCTGTCAAATACAAAGGTCTGCAAGTGAGAAAAATTAATTGTAGATCTAAACGACTTGTACTAAACAAAATGAGAAAATTTAATTAGACATGTATGGGTAGGATTTATTCCACTTATAATATATACATACCTAAACATAGTTGTATTATTATTATTATTATTATTTTAATCAGAGTGAATTCTTCTAGTTTATCTACAGTTTTTTCGATTTTTAATCTAAGCTATGAAATTAACAAATCTAAACAAAGAGAGAGTACAAATCTAACTTGTAAACTTGAATCCCTCCAAAAAGGTATTACGTATGGATATGAAAGTCCTATTATTACAAATAAAATGTTGCCATGTTTGGTGATCACAGGAGTGACGTTTGAGTTTTCTTTTTCCATGTCATTTTCGACCCAATTTCGTGTACAAAACCAATTCTCCTACCTTCTCTTTCATTTTATTCAAATAAATTTACTATATAACAAAATGGAAATTTAACGACACAAACATTTTCTTTTATTTCATGTTTAAATTTTATTTACTCTTAAAATTATTCTATTTTGATTTTTAAATAACTTTCAAAATATCTTTTGTTTAGTTCTTTAAGTTTAACACAATAATTATTTTGGTCATTGATGTTAATTTTATTTTGATGAATGGATGTATTCTCAATCTCTCTATTTCCTATCTAATAGATTCTCCAACTTTTGTCTTTATGTCTAATTGATCTATTATCTATTAGATTCATTTTAAAGAATGAAATGACCTAAAAATTCATAGACAAAAATTAAGATTTATTTTTAATAATTCTCCCATTACAATATAGTCTAATTTTTTAATCTTTATTTAAAATAAACTATATATAATATACCATTATATACCTTCCCTCATATATAATTGAAACATTTTAAATTCTTTATCCTCGTTTTACCCGTTATGTGGAAGCTAATCGACCTACAGATGAAAAACCCTGAGATTAATTCATTAAACTCATTAACTATATTAATCAAAATTCATAAACGGCCACAAACTTTTAAAGAGACAATAATTCTAGTCCTCTGAAATCCTCTAAAATTTTCTAAAATCTCTAAATTTAAACATTATATTTGAAATATGTATAATAAAATATTTATCTTTAATAGTGTGGATTTATTTTCGAAAAAAAAAATATAAATTTATGACATTAGACATCTCAAAAACATTTTAAATATTAAGAAATCTACCAAATCATGCCTAGAGTAAATTTATTAAAAAAAATAGTACAACAAAAAATTCACACTATTAAACTATCAAAAACTAAAACTACCAAACCTTATCAAAGAACTATGACTTATTTTAAATCTATGTATTTATTTTTATAAATTTCCTGGTTTGTGTTTATGAAGCATATTTAAAAGAAAATTTAAAAATGTAGAATAAGTGATGAAATCTTAATTTAGATTTTACTAGAAAAGATGTTAATTATTAACCTAATTAAAATACAAAATAGTTATATTAATATAAAATAATAAAATCTTTATTGTAAAAAAAATCTTAAAAAGTAA